CTTGGAGTTGAAATAGGGTTTGCCAAAGGTTGGGTTGGGAAATTCCTGGAAATTTTGGGGGCGGAGCCTGGGGAAGGATTTCAGCAGGGTGTTATGCTCAAGAGTAGCCATTTTCTCCAGGGGAACTGATCGCTGTCATCTGGAGATCAGTTGTAATTCCAGGAGATCTCCAGCCACCACCTGGAGGCTGGCAACTTGAAAATTTATTGTGAAAGAGGAAGGAACCATTTGAATATGGCAAACCTAGTTATAACATCATATTTTCATGACACTGTGAGCGTTTAACTGACCCTTAAAAAAACAAAACCCTTAACTGTCAGAGTATTGTGGTGAGCAATCCTAAGCAGCTTTACTCAGAAGTAACTCCTATTTTATTCAATAGTACTTACTCCCAGAAAATCATTCTTAGGAGAGCATTCTCAGTATTTCTTGCTAACTGTATGGCCAGTCTATCACAGAAGGCAGGAGGCTGCGTGGGCTTCTCTTCACTCACAAGCAGGTGCCCTGGCTTGCTCTGTCAACAGTTTTTGTCTTTCTTTGACCTACTGTTGCTTTTGGCATGTTCGTTGATTTATTCATTTTAAAAAATTCCTTCCTTTTAGAAAAAACTATCCAAGCATAAAATAACCATTTTAAACAGATAAACAATAAAAAGTATACAATAAAATAATAGAAGAATCACCATTATCAAATTATGCCGACTGTTCAATGAAAGAGTCTTTAAAAGCCTTCTACAACACTTGAGGGAAGATATCAAATGAACATGCTGTTGAAGAGAATTGCTTCTGGTGCTGCTACCAAGAAGGTCTTGTCACGTGCATCCACTTGGAGAAGCATGGCTTCTCAAACTAACCTGAGCAAATAGGCAGACTCTAGGGTTGCCACGTCCCCCCCCCCGCTGCCAGCAGAGAGGGTACGTTTGCTCACTCAAAGTTTGGGGAACTCCTGGAATTTTGGAGTGGAGCCTGAGGAGGATAGGGACCTCAGCAGAGTACAATACCATAGAGTCCACCCTCCAAAGCATCCATTTTCTCCAGGGGAACTAATCTTTGTACTCTAGAGATGTGCTGTAATTTTGGGCGTCCCCAGGTTCCACCTGAAGGCTGGGATCCCTAGACTTCTGTTAGAGAAAGTGGTCCATGAGATACTTTGTTAGGCTTTTACAGGTGAAAACCAGCACTTTGACTTGGGCCCAGCAACAAATTGGAAACCCGTAGTGATACTGGCCTGATACATTCACCGCCGTTATCTAGTATTAGAAGATGGTTCAAGAAGGAAGGAATGGGTGGGACAAAATTCTGAGTTCTTTTGTTGGTCTGGGGAGCTGGATCAACAGCATTACTGGTGTCCAGCTGTATATTCAGCATGGCCCCATTTACTGAAGAATAAGGAAGGTCTGAGGCTGCTTGTGGCAGTGCCACCCTGTCATTCCATTTTGAGCTGTGCTGGACTCGAACTGCAAAAAAAGTCATGTTCGCATTCCCTTGGTCAGCCACTATCTCTCACTCTAAACTGCCTCCCAGGGTGGTTTGCATCCTGAACTCTTTGGAAGAAGGGTGGAAAATAAATGGAAGCAATGGAATGGGGGGAAACCTATGGAGGACACAAGCCTATTCCTTGCCATGCTTTATTGTCCTAGAATGTCTGGGTTTTGTGTGGATGGCACGAGAGGGACCAGCATGGTGCAGTGGTGTTGGAGTGGGATTTGGGAAACCCCAGTTCAAATCCCCACTCTGCCACCGAAGCTTGCTGGGTGATCTTGGGCCAGTCACATACTCAGCCTGACCAATCTTAACAGGGTTATTATGAGGATAAGACAGAAGGGAAGAATGTTGTGAGCTACTTTAGATTGAAGTGTGGTATGAATGAAATAACAAAGATGAATAAATATGGAGGGCCCCCCCTAAAGTAGCTATTGTCAGACCTGTGGATGGATTGCTCCATTTTGAACCAACTGAAGTTTCCCAAAACTCATCAAAAGCAATTCTATGTCAGTCCCATTATGACAATTGGAAGTGCCAAGCACATGGGTCAGTGTGGCCAGGAGAGGGTTCTCTCAGAAGGTCCACACTTGATACACCAGCCTAAGCTGGTAAAAGGCTTGCCTGTCACTTACCCGAGCCCCTAGGAACAATATTTGTACTTTGTACCCGGTCCTTTGGTGGCACAGGCTGAGCATGCTGTCCCAATTCAACAGGGCCTCCAACCAAAAGTGCCTCCATCTTGTCTGGAAAAGCCACTAGGGAAAAGAGGAGAGAAAAGGTGTCTTCAAGGTTGCAGTGCAGCTATACTCTGAGATTCTACAAATATTAGCTGACTGCACAATTCCAAATTGCAAGAAGAAACTTTTGCATCTTATCTACAGAGAGCTGAATGATTACAGGATATGTCAACTCACTCAAAAGCCTGATTATGACTAACTAGAGCCGGTGTCTGCCAACCTGCTGGCTTGCATCTGATCCGTTCACTGAAAACTTGCCACCATATTTGACGTTCAGCTGCCACTGTCTGTTAAGAGCCAATAAACATGGACATTTCCCCATAGCAACAATGACTGAAGTGTTAAGCCGTTTCTCCAATGAAAGGAAAACTTCATCACAACCCAAACATGACCTACTGAAAAGTATCGGCATACGAAAGCCCAGCCTCAGCTCCTGAACAGCAAGAGAGCCTTTCTCCCTGCCACTTCTTCCTGGCCCGAACAGTCTTACTTCTTGTCAGTAGGCTGGTCATAGGAGATTTCCCCAAAATAGCTTTGTATTTCGGCACAGCATGATTCAAAAGATTTTGTATCATGCAAAACAAAACATGTCCCATTCTGAATGTTTCTAGAAGATTGTCAGTTATAAAGGAAGACCCCAAATTAACAAATGTGTACTAATTAATTCAGGTGTTCATATCGTGACAGTGAGCTAAAAAGCAAAGCTGTCTGGAGGAAAATTAACTCTTCTGACAAGCTAAACCTTTGCGTGCAGAGATAAGTATGGTGCATGAACACTATGCATGTTGGGAGCAACCCTAAGTGTACTCATAATCATACTCAGGTCTATTCAATGGGGCTTACTTCCAGGAAACTCTTTTTAGGATTGTACAATGGAATTTCAAGGGGAGATTAGAAAGAGAGACTGCTGAATTGAAATTGACAATGAAGCTAAAGACAGTGCATCCACCTGGATTGAATCGAGACCTAGGTTTCCTGTTTCATTAACAAAGCTGATTTCTCCAGCCTACCTCCCCCTGCATATCTCACCTAAATCCAATCACACCTGCTATTGTCATTCACCTGCTATAGTCATCTGCCTGCTAATGTCATTCGGCATCTGAAATCACTCCACTTTCCAATATATAGGATGGATGGACTCCCATTCTAGCTGTATCTGAAGAAGTGAGCAGTGAGTCACAATAACTCATACCCCGCCAACATATTTTGTTAGTCTTTAAGGTGCTACTGGGCTCTTGCTCTTTTCTACTGCTGCAGACAGACTAACACGGCTACCCATCTTAATCTATTGTTTATCTTACATCATTAGCCTGAATACACAGAGTGTCCTCACCCCCATTCTCTCCTCACAACAACACTGTGAGGTAGGTTAGGCTGAGCAATAACAACTGGTTTAAGGTTGCCCAGCAAGTTTATGACTGACTAGAGATTTGAGGAGCTGTGGTGGCTCAAGTGGTTAAGACATTGAACTGCAGGCTGTGGAAGGTCAGTAGTTCAGCAGTTCGAGACCCGGATGCCGCATGATGGAGTGAGCTCCCATCTCTAGTTCCAGCTCCTGCCAACCTAGCAGTTCGAAAGCAAGAAATTGCAAGTAGATAAGTAGGTACCACTTCGGTGGGAAGGTAACAGCGTTCCGTGGGCCTTGGTGTTTAGTCATGCCGGCCACATGACCACGGAAACGTCTTCGGACAGTGCTGGCTCTTCGGCTTTGAAACAGAGATGAGCACCGCAACCCTAGAGTCGGATTCGACTGCGCTTTCGAGCAAGGGAACCTTTACCTTTACCTAGAGATTTGAACATGTGTTGTGGAGAACATGAAATTAAGCAAACTCAGGAGGACAGTGGAAGACAGGAGGGCCTGGCGTGAAGTGGTCCATGGGGTTGCGAAGAGTCGGACTTGACTGTGTGACTGAACAACGACAGGGATTTGAACATGTCTTACTGCTCCAACACTCTAGCTGCTATACCACATTAGCACGGTCCAGTCCTCTGGTCTACAGCACCTGTTGGTCCATTTTTTAAAAAGGCTCTTGCTTCCTTACTTTTTACTCCAGTAGCAATGTCAACCAAAACTTTCATTTTCCGTTAACAGACAGAGAAGTGGAAATTTTGCATAAAACATAGTTTTGCACAAACTGAAGTCTCTTGACCATGGTAGATAGTACATATGAGAGAGCCGAATTCAGATTCCCTCTCAGTCATGCAGCTCACTGGTTGGCTTTGGACCCTCTTTCTCAGTGGAACCTACCCGGTTTTTAAATTGCATTTTTATTCTAGCCTTCCTCCAAAGAGGCCAAGACAGTGCACGTGAAATCCCCATTCTATCTTCACCACAGCCATAGACAAAACTGACAGAAAAAAACGACTGACCCAAAGCAACCTCTGAACTTTGTGGTAGCAGAGTGGGGATCTGACTGAATGCCCTTCTGGCCCTACTCTATAGTGGTGGTGTTGCATAGGCATAAAATGGAATAAATGCCTGCGTGCCATCCTGAGTTCTTTGGACAAAAGGTGAACTACACCTCCTTAGCTGGGGTGGGAGGAAACATAACAGTAGTAATCTAATTATTTAATGCAAGGGGGGGGCTAAAGAGATCATTTGCCAACTATGTACCGCATCTTCCTATTGTGCAGTAACCCAGCACATTAGAGTAGAGAGGCTCTCTGGTCAAGAGAGGCGGGCTGCTTTAAGAGGAAGATAGGAGGCTGTAACCCGAAACCCACTGAGAGCAGTCGGAGGGGACTCCTGGGAAACGTTGAAATAGAGCAGCATGCTGGCCGTCCGGTCTAGAGAGAGTTCAGGTTTTCCTTGACCAAAGTTGGAACTTCCCCTCGGGCCGGAGGCCACCGGAGACCGATGGCGTCACGCAGGAAGAGAGCTATAAAAGGGGGACCCCGGCGGCCGCGGGCAGGAAAATAAACCCTCTCCAGGCTGGTGGGTGGCTTGGCTGTTCTGGCCAGGGCGCCTCCGCAGCGCTGACAGGGACCTTTCAGCCTAGTAAGACAGCCGTGAATTCAGCGGCCGCTGCACAGCTGTAGGGAGAGAGGGCGGGAAAAAGACTGACTGTAGATAACGATCAGGAAATTGGTGGAAAATGCCACAGAACGTTGTCCTCCCAGGACCTGCGCCTTGGGGATTCAGGCTGGCAGGCGGAATAGATTTTAACCAGCCATTAATCATATCCAGGGTATGTCCTTTTTCTATATCGCTTCTGATTTATGTGTGATGACTGCTGTGTTGTGGAGATATGAATGGTGTCAGGAGATAAGAGCAGGGCGCTGCGTGATCCAGCAGACAGTAACTTTGCATGTTGTGTAGACTGAAAAGAGCCGGGGCAAGAAGTTGTACTTTTAAAAAATCCATTTGAACAGTGGTATCAAGCTTTTAATGTACTTCGATACAGTGTTTGACTGTCTCATGCATTGCTTCCCCCACCCCCCCTTTGTTCCAGTATAAGATCTGTAAGGCACAACATGTTGGCACTTTATTGTATGTTATATGTGGTCCCTGTTGATTTACTAGTGTAAGCAGCATTGCCTTTTTGGAAGGAAACTCAAGAAGCGGTGAGAGAAACGTGTAACCCTTTGTTCACCTGCCAGTTCTCCGTTTCAGCCTAATATACTTGCAGCTTTCTCCCCTGAACTATGGATAGAGTGATGTCCTGTAAGGCAGTGGTGCTCACTTTGCATCTCATAGACAGCCACACTTGCCATTACCACAAACCAAAAGAGCCTCACTTATTTCCATTCCTAGCATGATGCCAACACCTCAGGGAGGCTCGTAGCTTACCTGTTCCTCCAGAGGCAGTTGTTTCATAACGGGAACCAACTGCCAACGACAAGCCCCACTGGTTAAGGGCCTTGCCCCCTTACCCAAGAAACATGTGGCAGGCATCATATTGGGAAACAGTGCTCAGAAGAGCTACAGTTGTCATGCCAAAGAGCTGCATGTGGCTCCTGAGTTACTGAGGGAATATCACTGCTGGTGGGTTTCAGATGTTTGTTTTCCTTTGCAGAGGCACAGTTTGAAACTCCTAGGCCAGAAAACTGTCTGATTGGGGCACTTGGGGTGGGGAAACATTGGGCAAGGAAAGGATCACGTGCCACCTCCTTCCATTGCTGCTTTAAGCCCCCACCAGTGTTCCCTCTAAGCTGAGTTAGTGTGAGCTAGCTCACAGTTTTTTAGCCTCCGGCTCACACAGTTTTGTCTTAGCTCAGGGAGGATGGCTCCAGAGCAAAGTAATGTATGCTGGAGCCAACTCTCTCACTCACAACTTTAATGCCAGTAGCTCACGAAGTAGAATTTTTGCTCACAAGACTCCACAGCTTAGAGAGAACATTGGCCCCCACCCCTTTGATTTAAAAAAAAACAAAAACCACTAGGACACTATTACACATGTACCATGTGTAGCTCCCCTTCAATAGCCCAGGGACGGACACTGCTTTTTAAAAAGCACAAAGGTTCTTGAGGAGACTCTGGTTCAAAGCCGCACTCATCATAAACTTGCTGAATGGCCTTAGGCCAGCCATTCTCTCTCGGCCTACACTACCTCACCGTGTTGTTGTGAAGGTACAATGAAGGAAGGGAAAACCCTGCTAGCCACCTTGAGCTCTTTAGAGAAAAATAAAATAAGAATAAATAAAACCACATGCTGTCCAAGGCTATGCAACTCTGAACAGAAGAAAGCCATATTACAGTCAATTGCATTACCTCCTAGTAGAAGTGTATGGCATGGCAGCCTTGTGCTGAAATCCTAAGCACACTTAAGTAGCGATTGTTGAACCTGGTGGGAATTGTAAACTGTAAACAAGCATAGGAGTGGACTACTGGGTTAACATCTGTTCACAGGGTGGCAGGTAACAATATATTACTTTGACGATGCCCTGGGTTAGGATTCTGTAATGTGTTTGGGGGGATAACTTTGAGATTAAAACCAGCTGTGTGCCTTCCCACTTCATGTTACTTATTCTGTCACAGCTATGCAACATATACAGAATGGGGCACAATCCTACCCACTACATGTAGATAGTTTGATTAAAATCATGATGGCTGTTCTTTTTTGAAAAAAGGAACCACATGAAGGTAACTTGAAATAGAGAGGAAGGGAAGGCTTGTCATCCCCCCCCCCCGCTACTTTTCCACTGCGGCTTTTGCCCCCCTCCTTCTCCCCCCAAACTTTCATGCACTTGCAAGGACTTGGTTATACAATCGCTCACCTGAAGTATAGTTTACTAGTTATTACTCTTGTGAAAAGAGGAATTTTAGCAAAGATTCTTTGTGGAATGCTACATGTTACTCTCTCTATATATTTTTTAACCAAATGGGCCTAAGGATGGAGTTATGGGTAGGAATGGTCACAGTGTAATTTCTCCTGACAAGGGGCATCTGAAAGATCGGATGTGTACACCCTCATGTCAGTTGGCTTAAGTTCATCTGAGAGCAGCTTAACACATGTATTTATGAGGCTGACTGAGAGACCAAAAATTAGGAACTATTCTTCACTGGCCGCAGGTCAAAGAAGCTATTTCAAGCCCAGAAATGTCTGTGCATAATGTTCTCTGGAAGTGTATGCACACTTAATAAGCTATGACTCAGGCCACTCCAAAACTCATCCTGAGCAGATCTAATTAATATATAGTTCTCTGTGTTTATCCTGAGGCAGCATCCGGAGGGAGATGGATTGCTGACCCTGTCAGCAAAATCAGTGAGATCTGATTTCAAATTCACATTCCTATGCTTCCCCTTATTTTTATAACAGCAATGTACAAAGCTTACATTTATATTAATAGCCATTTCTAGGCATCAATAGTTGCTGCATGGTCTACGGTTTTCCCATTCCTCCTCCTTTTTCCCCTCTGACTTGGCATTTAGTGGCAGTTTTCAGTTAATGTACCGTAACTTTATTGTTAGCCTTTAGTCGTCCCAACCTCTATGACATATTCTTTTTCCACCATTTCTGAATTTATTTATTTATTTATTTAACTTTTACCCCGCCCTCCCTGCCAAGGTGGGAATGCATTGTTATTGACTGTCATTCAGAGGGTTGTATAAATATAAAAAATAATTAGAAGGTTCCAGTTAGTTCCATGAACTTCAACAGAAGAAACTTGATCTGCTTAGCTATCTCTCACGGAAATTAATGGGTATTAAAAAAAAAAAGTTTAAGCTTTGGCTAGATTCTGTCCTATATAGATATAGAAAATTAACTTTTGCTATTTTTCTATTTAAACCATTTTAGACTCTTAGGACACTGTGAAATATTTAGTCTGCAGTTAGAGGCATTACAGGTATAATTCATTATCTTCTTCAATTCAAAGATCTATACAGGGATTCAGAGCAAAGAGCTGAAGGACTATGGTAATGTGGGAAAGGTTGTGGTATTTCTATCTGATGCTTGCATTTTCTTGTACAGTTATTCCATCTTCAGCCCACTGATTTCAGTTGGCTTAGGCTGATTTTACTCTGAATAGGGCTGTGCTGCTTGCCTCTTTAAAAAATTTGACACATATCTAGCTATTTATTTCACCTAATCAGTCTGAACAGTTGAACGTTCTGTAAAATGCTAGGATACGTGTTTAGACAGTTCTGACCCGTGTATGGCATTTAAGACACAGACACAAGGAAAAAGAAAATAAATATAACAGAATTCTGATAGAGGTGTTTTTGGAGTTGTGCTGCCTTTTATGGAATTATAAGAGGAAAAGTTTCCATTATCTCTAAAGAAAAGTATTTTAGCATCGCCTGGCTTCTACTCTGCATTTGTTTAGAGTAAGCTCAGTGGAGTCTGAAGTTGTATTAACAAAAGATGAGTTGCATGTATAGCAAATTACCAAGAAGTAAATTGTTTGGCTATTGAGTCACTCCTTGATGAACCGTGGTAGTAGCTGAATGACAAGTCTCATTAAGAGCTTTTTCCAAGACCTGAAGTGTCTAATATTGCAATACATATTTACCTAAAAAGGCAAATGTTTAAGATCAGTATCTTGTACCCCAGTGGTAGATCTCTTTGATTTGAACATCTGGTTTTCTGTATAACCCAACTTGGATCCTTTTTCTTGTTTATGTGTAACAGTTGAGAACTGTAAAATGCCTCTCCAGCAATGTGGACCCAATGCTAATATGTTGAGATAAGTGAGTTCATTCAATATAGTCTTCATAATTTGAGCCACAGGTAGGGTTTCTAACCTCCTTGTAGTGGCTGGAGATCTCCCAAAACTACAACTGATCTCTAGGCTACATAAATTGTTTATTTATTTATTAGTTATTTATTTAAAACATTTATTCCACTTCTTCTGGAGAAAATGGCTGCTTTGGAAGGTGGACTGCATGACATTATACTCTATAGAGGTCCCTCCCTAAACCCCACATTCCCAGGCTCCACCCTTAAATTTACAGGTATTTCCAAACCCAGAGTTGGCAAACCTAGCCCCAGACTGTTTATTTGTTTGCTTCATTTGTAGTCTACCTTTCTCTTTGAGGTTTGAGGTAGATTACAGAATTTGGCAACAATGACAGCTGTCCTACGTTGTCTAGGGATGGGCACAAACCAGCTCGTGAGCTAAAGTTCATTGCAAATTTTGGCTAGTTCATGGCCGCCGTGGTCTTCCACAAATTTTAAACCGCCACAAACTTCCACAAATGTTAAGCCGCCACAAACTTCCACAAATTTTAAGGCAGTTCAGGTGGTTTGTGAAGAGCAGAAAGCAGAGGTTTAAATGGTTCGGAACCATTTAAACCCCTGCTTTATACTCCCTGCGAAAAGTGGTGGGGAACAGAAAGCAGGGGTCAAGAAACAATACAAACTGGTTCGGTTCGCAAACCAACGTATCAGTTCATGGTTCGGTCTGTGATTCGGCCATGAACCAAACCACAAAAACGTGGTTCATGCCCATCTCTAATGTTGTCTAAGATTTATGAACTGTGGCTAGAACTATGAGTATGCAACTAAGAGTGTAAATTAAAGCATATAATTCTCAGAAGTGTATAAATCACAGAATCACTGCAGTAAGATTTGTAGGTCTTACATGGACTAAGTGGATATTAGTTGTAGTTTCAGAATGTATTTCATTTTAGATATATTGACCTCATCTAGCAAGCCAGTCTCAAGAGCAGAGCAGTCCTGTTCTTAATCATATGAATAAATAATACATTATTCCCTTCCCCTTTGAATATATGAAACAGATCTGT